ATACTCTTTGTGTCTGGCTTCTTTTGCTCCACATTGTAAGAGTCATTGATGATATTGCTTGTCCTTGTGGTTTGTTTATTTTCATTGCTATATATTATCCCATTGTACATACATACTACAATTAATTCATCTATTCTGTTCTTGGTGGATATTTGTGCTGTTTTTCTCTGGTGTGTGTGTGTGTGTGTTTTGCTATTACAAACAATATTGTGTCAACTGAGCACAGAGTTTTTAACTAGAAATAAATGATAAAGATTTATTCAAGGGTCTTAGAGTTTGCAAACTGGAAACACTGCTAGGCAAAAACCCAGAAGTGTTCTGAAGAAGAAAGAAAAGTTGAGTTCTTACAGTAAAAGTCATATCCTTGAAAATAATCAGTCCTGAATTCTTAGCCCTTGGATTTGTCCAGGACAGTTATCAGTCAGATGTCAGGTAGCCTGGATGATGAGCCAGGGTGCCAGGAAGTGCAGCCACATCCTGAGTTCTTTAGGGGGTAATCAGAGGGTTATTTGAAGGTTTGATGTATGTCTAGGCATTGACGCACAATGGACTGGTGTATACCTAGGTATTGATGCATGACTGGAAAGTTCAAAAGTTTAAGTGCCCAGGCTAGTTAAGATGAGAAAAAGAATTGTTTCCTCATGCCTTCATAATTGTAATCTTTATAATGTTAATAACGTAGCTTGGTTAAAATTACTCCATTTTATATTTTCCCTGTTTTCACTTTTCACTCAACTGCTACCAGAATTCTTTTGGTGCACATATGCATGCATTTCTATTAGGAATGTACCTACGAATGGAATTGCAAGTCATAGGTTATATTCCTGTTTATTTATTAGATATTGATTTTTAGTATTCCAAAGTGTTGTACCAATTTATACTTCATATACTTTCATATGAGTCCCAGTCATTTCATATCCTTGCCAACACTTGGCACTTTAAGTCTTTTTAAGTTTTGTATTATGTAGTGGTTTTTCTCTCTTTTTAAAACCATTTATTACGGAAAATATTAAACATATATAGGATAGAAAGACTAATATAATAAAGTTTCACGTTCCCATCAACCATCTTCAACAGTTATCAGTAAAGGACCAATCTTGTTATATATAGGGGACATTCCCATTCAATTATTTTGAAGCAAATCCTAGATATCATATTATTTTTTCCATAATATCTTCTAATATGTCTCTCTAAAAGATAAAGATTTTTTAGAAACATAACTCCAATTTGGTTACCAAACTAAAAAGTTAGCAGTAAAGTTTTCAACATACTGAATAATATTGAGTATGTATTGCCAGCATGACTTTTTTTTTTAAAGATTTTATTACTGGGGAATTGGGGGAAGGGAACAGCATTGGGGAATCTGGGACGGGGAACAGACAAGTTGCTGTCCTTCAGTCTAGTTGTGGAGGATGGTGCTTCACTGGCCCATGTTGCTATTATCATTGCGCTCTTCCTGGGAGAGGCAGTCGCTCACCAGCCATTGGACAGCTGCTCACTGCGGCTCACGGCAGCTCACGAAAGCACACGCCGGCTGCCGGCCAGCCCCACTGCAGCCTATGCCATCGCCAGTGACTCACCGCAGCCCAGCTCCAAATTGAACTGTTGTTCACCATCTTAGCTGTAGAGGGCGCAGCATCACTGGCCCTCATGTGGGATCTGAACTGGAGCCCTGCTGCTCAGAGCTGGTGTCCCAAGCCAATTCTTAACCAATGTGCCACTCGGCCGGCCCGACAGCATGACTCTTTATCACTAATTATTAATACACATCTAGAAAACAATATTTTTATACTTATCCACAGTAGCACTACCATAAACAAAATTAACAGTAATTCCTAAATAGCATCTAATAACTAACCCATATTTACATTTTTCCAGTTGTTTCAACTGTCTTACTGTTGGTTTAAACCAGAATCCAAAATACAGTCATGAATTTGCATTTCCACTCTCAACATAGGGAGAGTCCTAGGATTTGGGGAGCTGTGAATCAAGAATTGTGGATGAAGACCAAATATGTAGTATTTATTACAAATTGCAATATTGCACCACTATATCCTGTTACCTTCTGCTATGATCACATTTGTGTTTGTGTTCTAGCTAACTCTGTTTTTAAATATGTTATTCAGTGGTGGTTTTCTAAAATGGATACTTAAATGACTTAAATGGATCTTTAGGAAGACCAACAATAGTACAAACAATACACAATTATAGCTCTGCTTATAGGTATAAAAATTTCAAGTGGCACAGGAGGTCTTGGTTCTATGGGAAAGTTTTAACTCTAATTTTTCTTTGAAATACCTAACGTTCAATTGCTACTTTACTTTCTTTTTCTGCCGACCAGGAAGGATATGAGTTGGCATTCTCCAACTCCCCAAGCATAGCGCTAGTAGATGAAAAAAATCACTTAATTACTGCTAGATCAATTATTCAAGTGCACAGTAAATATTAGGTGAACAAATGCAACAAATGCTGGCAAACCATGATGCAAATGAGTCTATAAGTTTCTATTAGGTTAATTGATTGCCCACAAATTACCATTTACTTTATTAGCCTTTTTGGAGAACTATGCATTATGTTTTCTCATACTTAATACGTGGCTCAAAGAGAGGTAACATTTGCATTTTAGGTATTAATCAGCATCTATTAAAATTATAGAAATGTTTTTGCCTTATAGTACGTTCTGTAAGAGCTTAGGATCTAGGTTCTTGTGGAGTCACATTTGTATCTGTGTCCTTTTTCTCCTATCAGGCAGATGATGCTCTTCAGGAGCTTAGAAATGGGGCCGCCATGCCCGACAAAGGGCATGGAGCCTCTTTTTCTGTGCCGCAGGGCTCCACAAAAGGGTGGGGCTTTTAAGGCCACAGTGATGTGTGGAATGGCCATATTTATAGTTACAGTTTCAACCATTTAAAGGAGGCTTTCCCGGCTACATTTAAATGTTGCTACAGGATAATTTGCACTTTCTTGATAATGTTTCCCCTCAATACAGGAAAGACTTTTAAGAATTGTGATCAGGGGTTTAATGTCACCAGGAAATATGACTATACTTCAAATGTGTTATTTTATTAATAGTCATTATATATTTTCCTTTTTACTGCATTTATGTAATTTTTTAAATGCTTATATAAATGCTTCATTTTCTAAGGCTTAAGTCTTCTAGATGTTTTAAAGATACATTTTCATTGTGCTGAATTACATAATAAGTATAGTGTATTATGTATCCTTATTTCCTTATTTGGTCACAAGGAAGCCCTGTGTTTCCACTTAGCTCATGATTTCTGTCTCTTCTCTGAAGGTTCATATTGGTTATCTTCCTAATAAGCAAGTCCTTGGCCTCAGCAAACTTGCGAGGTAAGTATGACTGTGTGATGGATAGGAAAACGGGTTTATAGAATCTGCCCCCACACAGTGAGACTCTCATCAGGCTTCCTTTCTTGACCAGGGTGGATCTGATGTGGAAGTCATATTGCAGCTTAAAATTTATAGTCTCAGAGACAGACTTAGAGGACCTGAAATACAAATGCCCTTTGCTTCTCATTTCCCCATTGCCTACCCTCCTCCCCCACCTCCCACCCCTTCTTCCACAGGCATGTCCTTGAAGTCTTAGCTCACACCTTTCTCAGTAGAGCCTTCCCTGGTCTCCGGCTGGAGAGGACCCGAGGGAGCATTCAGTTCAGCCTGTGTCCTTTAAAGGGGCTTAGCGAAAAGTAAGGGGTGGGAGAGGAAACCTGGGCAGGGGCCTACCTGCACTGCACTGCGCTGTTTTCAGACTGTTAATCAAACCACTGTTTGGAGCCTCTGCCTTCTGCTGTACCTTGGTCCCTCCGGGCATCTCTCTGGGCTCCTACAGGGCCAGTCAGTTCACTTCTGGTTTCTTTGCCTCTGCAGACACAAGACTGTGCCTTCCGTGGCTTTCTCAGCTCTGTTCCAAGACAATGTTTGCTCTTCTCTCACCTATTTCTCTCCTTTCTACTACAGCCTTCTTTTCCATTCTTTATCCTGTGGGTTCATGCTTTTTAAAAAGTTTCTTTGCTACCACTTTTATTTGGGTTTTAGGAAGGAGTGGTGATACATAGCATGGTAATCTATGTTTAACTGGAAGTCAACTGAGGGTCATTGTTTATATATCCCTGACAGTCCCAGTAACCAATATTTTAATGCCCCTAAATATCCTCTTTTGGAATTTCTTTGTATAGAATTAGTGAGTCCTGGGAAAATAATGGGAGGTAGATGCGCGCGCGCATGCGCGCGTGTGTGTTGAGAGTTAAGAACAAAATGAAAGAATAGGTAATGAATATACAGTCAAGTGCCACCCCTTCCCCCTCTTTAAAATAAACCTTTGGATAACCTGATTGAGGTTATAGTGACCACCAAACTGGAGTACATGACTCTGTGAGCAACTGACTATTCTGTGGCTCTGATGTGCTCCTGTTTCTTCTCCACTTAGACTCTGGGATTCACCGCAGTCCTGAAATGGTGGTCCAGATCTTTTTCGATTCTGTGTTGGAACCTGTAAAAACCACCCAGCAGTCTGTTAGCTGCTTTCCACAGCTGTTCTTTTTACTTTTGTTTTCACTTCCACTTTCTCAGTCATTTCTTTTAAGGATTAAGGAGAAAGTAAGTGAAAGAAAAAAATTTAATGTCCCTAGTTCCTGACCTTATTCCTGGTCAGCAATCTCACCACCAGAAAGGATGTTATTGTATCATAGTTCTAATTGCTTCACTGCAGTAAGGCTCTTAACACAAATCCAGAAACATCTTTCCACCTTTCAGTGATCTGTACCCAGTGGCAGTGCCCAGGGGTGGCTGAAAAAGGGTATTGGTGGTGATGGGGGGTCCTACTACAATTTCTATTGCCAACCCTACACCTTTTCCATATAGAAAGTCTGGTACTGCTGATGCCTGTAACAGATTGTCTGTGTGTGAAAGGTGTGTAGTGGATAGTTTTCATATTACAAAAATGCTTGGCAGACCACACCAGGCCTTGGTCTTAACGTAAAGAGCTTTCTCTGGAAGACCACACTGTGTAGTCCATGGTTAACCCTTTATGGAAATGGGTTCTAAAATGATCCAGTGAGACCTTGGAGTAAATGGTAACTTGGGGGTAGAAGGGAATAATCTTTGGTTATTTCCTTTCCTAGGGAAAGGAAAAGATCTCAAAAATTAAGCTTTTATGAAATGATACAAAAGAGTTGATTATTAGCCTGGGGATTTGTCCTTACACTAATAGGATTAAAACTTAAGGAAAAATGGAACACTAAGCCAAAGAACTGAGTGTGTTACTCTCAGATATTTTGTAAAAAAATTTGAATAAAGGATCTATTAAATGGAAAAGAAGACTAAGATTTTATCCAACTGCTTACTCCCTATAAGAACTAAGAATATTTAGGGCATGAAGATAAAGCAAACTGAATGTGTTTGGAAAACTTCACCGTTCATTTTAATCTTGTATGTGAAGTTTGTTATATGCTTGCCTTTAAACGAATGACCTTTCAGTGCCACAGAAGTCAAATATCAAACAGTAAAGCCTTAAGTAACAAGAAAATGCCAGAAGGGAGTTGATCTGGTTTAACTCTAATAGAATTCTAGAGTAAACTTAGTTTGAATAGAAATTCCTTTTGTTGCTGAAAATCCATTGAACATATATTCGTTTTCTTGCCTTAGAATAACTGAGTGAACATAATTAAATCTTGACTTTTCCATTGTAGTGCCTTGGGCAGCCTTGGTTAATCTATTTATTGTGAAAGGGCACTGATGCTAGAGAGAAGGAGGCAGGGCGTATGAGACAGCAGCTCCCACAGAAATGCCTGGCCTGGAGCACCAAGTTCAGAGGATCCCAGGTGTCTGTGGCCTGGCAGGGATGAAGAGACCCACAGATGGAGGGCTGAGCAGAATTCTAGATGGAAGAGAAGTTCCTCTAGGTGTGGTTAATACATATGCAAAAGCAAACAGGAGGGCAGGAGCAAGGCATATTCCTGTGGGTAGGGAGCAGATTTGATTGATAGAAATGAGACTTGGGCAGGGGTGAAGGAGAGAGAGTTAAAAAAGTAGGGTGGGCATTAGATTAAAAAGTGAAAATCCTTTTTTTCCTCTTTCTCAATTATAAAAGTAACACACCAGTTAAATTTAAATACAAATAAGTGAGTAAAGGGAGAGCTCTTCTTTTCTATTTCGATTCCACAGAGTTAAAATTCAATATTTCTTTCACTATCCTTCTGGAAAGTTTCTAAGCAAACACAAACATATAGCCCTTTAAAACTAGCAAAACAAAACAAAGTAAAATAAATAAATAAATAAATAAATAAATAAATAAATAAATAAATAAAAAAGGAGGTCATACCCTACATTCCATACTACAACTTTTTTTTTTTTTATAATTTAAAATACATTGAAATCCTTTGGACATCTTTTAGTTCAGAAAGTCCAAGTTCCTTTTAATGGCTACATAGTATTTCTTTGATCGATTAATATAATTCATTTAACCAGTCTTTCATATAAATAAGTATAGTCTACAGTTTGACGCTATTGTCAGAAAAGGAAAAAAATGCTTTGCTTAACATATTTTTATATATTTGCATACTTTGAGCCTACTTGCAAGATAAAGTACTAGAGTAAAATTTGCTGGGTTAAGGGTAGCTGAATTTTTGATATTACCATATTGCTCTCCAAAAAAGATTATACCAATTTATACTCTAATAGATAAAGCCTATGTGTTTCTCCACACTTTTGCCAACACTGAGTTTCATCAGACTTTTCTTATGAAACTGGTAAGTGAAACATTGTTTAATTTGCATTTCTTTAATAGAGTGAGGTCGAATCTTTTCAGAAACGTCCTCACTTAACCTTTGCTAATTTTTCCATTGGGTTGCTTGCCTTTTTATTACTGATTTATATGAGCTCCCTGAATGTTAAAGCAGTTAGGTCAGGTGCTGCAAATAAGTTTTCCAGGCTTGTCATTTGCCTTTTGATTTTGTTTTATAGTATTAGTTTGCCATACAGAAGTTAAAAATGCTTATGTAGACATAAACTCATATTTTCTGGGTTATTTTTATATTGAAATCTTTGCTCCATCTGGAATGTATTTTGGGGCAAGGAGTGAGGGGGAATCCTCCCATTGCCGTTGCATGCTCACTGACCTCCTGTTACCATGCTGCCTTCTCTATCCTTGCTACCACTCTGTTGGGCTTTTCTTATGTTCCTCCTGGATTATAGGTTAAACTGCTAACTCCTCTCTTAGGGTCTTTAACTCTGCTCTCATATGCTGCTAGGAAGTTTTTTCTAAAGTGTGGATTTGATGCTGCTGCTCCTTCATAGCTCCCTGTAGCTTTTAAGATTAAGTCCTGACTCCTTACCCTAGCTGACAAATCCCACGGTGATCCAGCTCCACCGCCTGCTGCACTTTTTCTCTTTGCTTTAGCCACACCTGAACATTTGCAGCCTAGTGTCAAGTCAAGCTTGCCAAGTCAAGTCATATGAAGGCATCAGAAATACTCTTAAGATTTGCAAGGGTTAAATTACACTATCCATTAGTTCTTCCTGCAAAAGTGTCGCCAGATTACTTATCCAGTTGCCAGAGGAGGAAGAAGAGGAGAGAAAGAATAATGCGAAAGAGAGGACCTAGCACAGAGGTTGTAAGACCAGTAAGTAAGCAATTTCAGTGAGATGTCTATTGGGTTAAATCCAGCACCCAACTGTGTCCCATTTATTTAAAAAAAATATAAAAGTTCAAAATAAAATCAAGACAAAATTTATCAAAGGGGGCAAACCAGGTCTTCTTATTTTCGTGAAGTTTTCCTAATAAAAGTGGCCACGAATCTTTATAGGTCAAATGGGTTCAAAACAGAAAACAGGAACTGACTGAAATAAATAAAGAAACTAAAAACCTGAAAGAAGTGGGTGGGAACACTAATTACCTCTCAGTCTTTGATTGAGATGGACAAAAGTCATATACAAAGCAGAGTAATAGAACTTAAAAAAAAATTGAACAAGGATTGTGTAACAAGAAAACTAGAAATTAATACAAAGTTAGTTTTTAAAACCAATTATTTAGAGGTGAAAGTTCTTTTAAATTCCTTTGACATGATAGAAAGTCATAATGATGGAAACACTGTATACCAATGTATAAAATCCAAAGTACAAAGCTATATTTTGTAATTAATAACAATCCTCCTCAAACTCTTCCGAAAAGTAGAAGAGGAGGGAACACTTACAAACTCATTTTTCGAGACCAACATTACCCTGATATCAAATCACACAAGGACCCTACAAGAAAAGAAAATTATAGGCTAGTATCCATTATGAACATAGATGCAAAAATTCTCAACAAAATATTAACGAATTGAATTCAACAATATACTAAAAGGATCATGCAATGCGATCAATTGGGATTTATTCCAGGGATACAAAGATGGTTCATTATCAGCAAATCAATCAATGTGATACACCACATTAACAAAATGGATAAAAGTCATATGATCATCTCAAATGATGTAGAAAAGCATTTGACAAAATGCAACAGCCATTCATGATAAAAAAAAAATTCACTCAAAATGGTTTGAAGACTTGAACATTAAGACCTGATACCATAAAACTCCTAGAAGAAAGCATAGAGTTAAGCTCCTTGACATTGGTCTTCATGATGATTTTTTGGATCTGACACCAAAAGCAAAGGCAACAGAAGCAAAAATAAACAAGTAGGACTACATCAAACTAAAAACTTGTGCATAGAAAGGGAAATCATCTACAAGATGAAAACACAACTTCAGGATGGGAGAAAATATTTGCAAATCATATATCTGATAAGGATTAATGTCCAGAATAATATAAAGAACTCATACAACTCAATAGCAAAGAAACAAATAATCCAATTAAAAAATGGGGAGAGGAACTGAATTTCTCCAAAGAAGATATACAAATGGTCAACACGTACATGAAAAGGTGCTCAGCATTACTAATCATCAGAGAAATGCAAATCAAAATCATAATGCAATATCACCTCACACCTGTTAGAATGGCTATCATCAAAAGAGATAAGAGATAATAAGTGTTGGTAGGGCTATGGAGGAAAGGGAACTCACCATTTGTGGGAATGTAAATTGGTGCGGCCACTATAGAAAACAAGATGGAGATTCCTCAAAAAATTAAAATAGAACTTCCATATGATCTCACAATCCCACTTCTGGGTGTATATCCAAAGGAAATGATGACAGGATATTGAAGAAATATCTGTACTCCCAAGTTCATTGTTCTCTCTCTCTCTCTCTCTCTCTCTCTCTCTCTCTCTCTCTTACACACACACATACACACAGACAAATCACAAATACGTGAGGTGGTGGATGTGTTAACTAACTAGATGGGGGAATCCTTTCACAATGTATATGTATATCAAATCACCTTGATGCACACTTTAAATATCTTACAATTTTATGTTGATTATATCTCAAAGCTGGCATTTTAAAAAAACACTTTGGAGGTAAATTTATAACCACAAATGCTTTAATTATTACATTATTAAACAAATAAACTAACCATTTAATATTATTTTAAAGAAAGAGAATTATAAAGCAAACTTAATGGAACAAATGGGAAAGAAGGAAAACAAAATAAAAAAATTAATTTATAAAACTCAAAAAGAATAGGAAGCATAAATCCAAATGTTGAAAATCTTGTATCATAGATTGCTTGGAAGTCAGATTGAGAGAATAAATACTTATACCTTGGAATGAGAAGCTATATAACTAAAATATGCTTCAAAAACTTTAAATCTTTAAGAATAACTTTTTTAAAAACAAAGGTGAAGAGAGAAGGGAATAAATCAAGAGTTAGAAAACCTGGATGAGCTAGTAACCTTTAGAAAAAGTCAAATTAATGTTGGGAGTGGGGTGGAAGTGGAAGGGGTTGGATCCAGTCAATTTAATAGGCATTCTCTCAAACTTCCAAGTAACCACTAATTCCTATGTGGTATAAATAATTCAAGAGCATGGGAAAACTTGAAAAGCTCTACAATTAATTTGATGAAGCTGCTCATCCCTGATAAAGCCTGATAAAACTAGCATTTAAAAATTATAAACTAATTTCACTTATGAATGTAGTTGTAAAAATCATACACACACACACACACACACACACACACACAGGGGTTGCCAAAAAAATGGATACACATTTTCAGAAAGGAAAAAACTGTATTAAAATTGTAATAATATATACAGGTAACAAAAGATGAATACAAGTCATGTGTATATATTTTTTTGACACACCTGGTATATGCACTTTAACAGGCTATAAGTACTGTTTTCATCATGACCCAGGGAGGTCTACTCAAAGAATACAAAGTAGTTTAGATGAAAATCGAGAACTACTGACTCTGGGAGTATGGTAAACTAGATTGTAATGATATCCCTCTTGGTATAGATACTAAGACATAATGTATATGGACATGTCACACACTGGGTGAAATACAAAGCAATTCCAGTGAGAATCCACAGGAATTAGCCAGCATTGGAGCCAAAGTCAGGGTTCTGTCCTCCCTGTTCTACCCCCAATTTAGGGAGACACTTAACCTATTGGCTTTATTCTGGGGAAAGCAGGAAAAAGAGCCAATAGACATGTATTCACAGGGGCTTGGGATTAGAATTCACGACCTGTGTGGTCCTCAAGAAAACCCAAGCCAATAATTTAATTTAAAATGTCACCAAGGAGGTAGCCTTCCATTCCCTAGCAGAAACAAGTGCACATTCCCTGATGCGCTTTTATGCAGTCAATGAGGACAGCTTCTGGAGTTAACAGGTACAGAATATACAACAAGTATGTTAGAAAATAAGAGTACTGAACGTTTGACAAAGGAGTAATTAGCCAGGCAGACTGGAAAAGGATGAATAAAACTTCTTAAAAAAAAGTGATAATTGAATCCAAAGCCCAAATATCCTCACTAAATAGCAGTTTAGGTACAGCCGAAAATCATCAGTCAACTGGAAGAAAGGTCTGAAGAAATTGCACAGAATGCAACACAGAGAGACACGTGGAAAATATGAATGAGAATGTAAGAGACATGGAAGACGGAAAAGATCTAATATGCCCTTAACTGAAATTCCAGGAGGTGACAGAGGCAATGGAGTAGGTGCAATATTAGAGAAGATAATAGCTGAAAATGTTGCCAGAGCATATGCAAAATATCAGTCTTCAGATTCAGGAAGCCTAAGAAACCCCAAAAAGGACAAATAAAATGGAATCCCCACCTAGAAGAAATATGGAAAACTGCAGAGTACTCAAAATTGTAAATGCAGCCAGAGAAAAATATTACCTACAGGGTAATAGCAATTAGACTCAATTGGTTTGCCAATGGCAATATTGAAAGACAAATAAATATCAGTGTCAAACTAACATTTTATTTCCAACAAATACCTCTCAACAAATTATCTTCGAGGATGAGACTATATATATGTATGTATATATATACACACATATACATATCTGTATATCTGTGTGTATATATATATATATATATATATATATAAATCCAGGGAAGCCATATGATTTTCTAATTGAAAACAAGAAAGAATAAACTAGGAATAAGAAATAAATGCTGTGAGCATAGGGACCCTGTTCACCACATAATCGTATGCCTAGTAGGCACTCAACAATATGTATGCATGAATGACCCTTCTTTGGCATGACAGTGGCTATCTACCAGAAACAGACATCGTGGGTGATAGTGAAATGTTCGAGGCATTCCTATTAAAGTGTGGGGCAAAATATGGATGCCCAATATTAACCACTGTTGTCTAATGTTGTACCTGAAATTCTACTCTAGAAAAAAAGAAATAACTGTGAGAAGAAAGACATTACTAATTTTTAATTACAAATTTAACTTGATGGCATCTCCTACTTATATAACAAATTAATCACCTGGAAAACTATCAGAAGTAATAGATACAGAAATTTGACCCAGTAAGAATAGGACATATTTTCTATCTAGGAGCTTGAACCATCCTTTCTCAGTCTTTTTGTTCAAAATAAAAAAATACATAATTGCATCCCTTCAGTGTTGTTTACCTACTGGGAACACAAAGAAGGATCAGAGTGGCTCCGTGGTGAGCAGGGTGGTGTCCCGTTTGTTGACCTTATGGGCTATAACCGAGGCATCAGGAGCAAGTTGTCAGTTCTATTTGAGGGTCATATTGGGTGGAAGAGCCTTAAAATGCCTCAGAGGTAAGGCAATCCTTAAATTGAGTCATGACTTAAATTCATGACTGAAAGGCCAAATTTTAAAGAAAAGGTCTGTAACGTGATTTGTTATTCTGAAGTAGGTGGTTCACATGGCCAGCTTTACATTTCACAGCTAGAGTGAAAGATGTTGAAAGGAGAATTTCATTGCTTGACAGATTGTGTTATAAGCTAAGATCAGGAGGCTTTTGTCTTAGCGGGGTTCATCATATTGAGTGCTTATTATATAGACCTATCTTATAAAGAGATGTCTGAAGAAGTCTGTTCAGTTCTAATCTGATTACCCTAATAGATTTAGTTGGTACAGTAGTTGACAATGGTCTGCCTTTTAATTAACAAATAGTCTTTTTATTTTTAACTTGAACTTAAGCTCTGATTAAACAACATGATAAATTAGAATACTTGAGACTTGGCCCAAAATTGATGACTCGGGAGCTTAGAACTTGTTTATCTCTAATTGTGTTTTCCCTAAGTGAACTGTACTCTTAATTCTGTCTCTCTCTCCCTCCCTCCTTCCCTCCCTTCCTCCCTCTTGGGACATAGGGAAGCACCACTCCGTGCCATTGTTGTGGTCTCCTTTGGACCTTCCCTCTTCTCATTTCCCTGTAGTTTTTGTATCTTTCTATCCTCCGATAAGCATGAACCCCTTGCCCATACCTTACAATTGCTTCAATAAAGTCCTATTAGTCTTATGAGCAAGCCATACCCATTTATTTCACTTCAAGTAATTTATGACTAACTGACACAATTCTTTTCTTTTTTAGGATTGTAGAAATCTATAGCAGAAGATTACAAGGTAAATTTTAAAACTTTTTTTTACAGAAAAACATTTTTTTTTTCTTAAGGGGAAAGTATTTTTTGTTCTTATTATAAGTATAATACATATGACTTACAAAAATTAAAACCTCATAGGAATGTAAAACAAAAAGTCTGCAGCATTTCAAGCCACCAGAAGAAATCGTTGTTGTATTTGCACATTCCTTCACATTTTTATGCATATACCAACATTTTAAAATCAATTTATTTGTATTGCATTTAAAAATGGGCCCATATTATATGAAATGGGCTTCACTTATCGTTTTTCCCACTTTTTTTTTACTTAAAAAGTCTTAAACCTTTTTCCGACATACATGTAATTATCTCATTCGTTTTGCTGGCTGTTTAGCATTCTGTTGCACGGCTGTGCTGTGGCTTGATGTAATCAGTTCCTGCTCTGCTAGACATTTGGGAGTTTGTCGGCTTTCAAATAGATGTAATGCTGCAGTGAATGTATGATTTCAAAGATGAGTTGTGTATTCAGCACAGGTACTACATTATTCAGGTTAAATAGTTGGTTTTCAGCATTGCTCTAAGTACAGTTCAATAATCGTACTGTAGCCTCCCTTTTAATCCTGCTGCGAGCTGTTTATTCATTTGCTGTGCTCTCCCTCCGTGGAGGTGCTTGTTATCAGTCTTCTGTTCTTGCTGCACACCTGAGAGACAGCCGCCCGCCATTCTAACCCGTTCCCTGCAGTGGTGCTGGAGGGCGCCAGGGCTTCCTGAGCTCTCTTCTGCACCTGTACTGCCGCGGAGGGAATTCAGCAGGGGCCTTCTGTGGCCCAGGCAGCAGACAAAGCAAAGTGGGAGAAGCTGGTGTATCTTGGCTTTTAAATCTCACGGAAGTCTGCTTTTTGAAGATTTCATATATTCTAGAGGCAGCGAAAAGCTTTCAGTTTTTTTTATCAGACTCTTCAACTGAGCTCCTTGTCCCGTCCACAGTTCAAGAGCGCCTTACGAAACAGATCGCTGTAGCCATCACAGAAGCCTTACGGCCTGCTGGAGTTGGGGTAGTGGTTGAAGCAACGTAAGTCCGTACTAGTCCATTGTTTGCCTTAATAATGTCACAATGGTGCCTGACAGTGACATACAGTGCTGCTTGGTTTTGCTAGTAAGAAGTGATGCCACTTATTACTCGGAGCCTGAAGCCCTTTTACCGCAATCATTTACTGTGTTGCCACTATGGGAGCCAGGACCTGGGAGACTGGTTTTGTTTTAGGTTTGTTGTTTTTTTTTTGGTGGGCGTTGTAGAAGAGTAGGGAGTCATAGGCTTAGGTATAGTGATTTGCACAACCAGTAGCATTTTATATCTTCTCTTGATTTCTTTAGCTTTTTGTTGCTCCAAGCAGAGTTTCTCTAATATTTTGTCACATGTTTAAAAAATAGAGGGAGCTAAGAATGGGTATGAAGGGTAACTGAAGACACTACTTTTTATTATTATTATTATTATTATTATTATTATTATTATTATTAGTTTCAGGTGTACAAAACAATGTAATAGTTAGACATTTCACCCCTCACAAAGTGATAACCCTCTCCCCCAATCTCTGTACTCCTGAAGCTGAAGCTGAATAATATTGAAGACACTTCTTTAAGTTAGAATGCATTATGAGAATTGGACACATCTTGTGGGCCAAGTTCTCTTCTGTCCTCCTGGCATGGCATGGGCTTCCTATGTGTGTGCTGCTCAGCTTCACCAGCTTGTTGCTCTCGCTGGCGTCACTGCCCTCTGGGCTCTGCCTGGTGAGACCAGTCCACTTCCATACCTCTCGCAACACCTTAGCTAGCATGGTGCTGCCTTGGTCCCAAAGATGGATCAAGTAAGAATTCTGGGTTTCTTTTCATCTAGAAGTTGTTCTATCCCTGTAGACCCTTTGTATTATTTTCACCCAGGAAGAATATTCCATTTCGCCCCCTCCTGTTGGATGCATTAAGGACCTGACCACTGATAAGAATAAAAGCTATATGACTAAGAAACTTAAGAAAAAGTTCTAAATAAAATTTATCTAAGAAGTGACAAACGTGGACATTGTGAACTCAGTTTAATCAGATTCAATTTTTCAGCCTGCTTTTTATTTTAAAAACCAAACCAGTAACTGTCTATTCCTTTCAACCCCCTTTGTTGACTTGTTTTGTAGACACATGTGTATGGTAATGCGAGGGGTACAGAAAATGAACAGCAAAACTGTGACCAGCACGATGTTGGGTGTGTTCCGGGAAGATCCAAAGACTCGGGAGGAGTTTCTCACTCTCATTAGGAGCTGAACTTCGGCGTGTGCCGTGTGCTATGCAGATCATGCTTCTAGAAGCATTGTTTGTCTGGTCTTAATTGTGCATTCCATTCTCAGTTGTAACAGACGTGAAACATTCCTTGTCACTGTGTTAAATAATTATTTATTGCAAGTCAAATAAAAATAATTAATAAAAGGGTGGGCCTTCTACTTTCTTCCTGCCACCTTTTAGTGGCAACATTTAAGCAAACTGCCAACATTTTAAGTTATATGCACAAAATCACTGCCATTCTGATAGCCTGAGGGTGCTGGGAAGGGAGAAGAACTCACGTATTTTGTTCAAATAATATAGTAATTTGGTTTATAAGCAAAGGAGTGTTGGGAATTGGAGAAAACTATGACCTATACACTGCGTTTTCCACTCCCTAACCAGAAATGGTGCAGCGCTTCAAATAATTTACTGTCCAGTGTGCGGCACTGCTCTGCAAATTCTAAGTTCAACAGGCTTCATTTTAATCGTGTTTATTAAACTGCCAGTGACACTTTATTTTTTATATATTTATTTTTTAACTGTCCAGTTGTAATGTCGGTTACCAAAGGAAGGTGGTGAAATATCTATGTTTTTTATTTTACTTTGAGTTAAAAAGGCACATTTCTACCTTCTATTTTTAAAAAAATCCTGTATAAGGAATTAGTTCCTGGAGTTGTTTACGAGTGTATTCTCATGTCAACATACAGAGATTTAGACGTTTAACTCTCTGTGCCTTGATGAGAATAGCACACCATTTAGAGTGTAGATACCTTTGCCTTTATTTAAACGCAAAACTTTATAAGACTCTGTACTGACACTGTACATAACTTGTCCTCAAAGTTCTACCTTTGGAAGCTTCCTGGGAGCTTAATTTGTGTGTTCCTTGCAGATGCCTCAAAACTATTTTTTTTTATCTTATCAAATATTTTTTCTAAGTATTCCAGAAACTTGAGAGCATCCATCACTTTCAGGCCCACAGAACCATAGCTTCCATGAACATGAAAGATGCAGAATTAACTCATTGTGAACTGTGTTAGGAGCTACGTCCAAAGTCTAACAACAGCTGTATTGTTGGTGTCTGTTAAGACGCACCATCATTTTCTGGAATTACTAGAAAATACCGGAAGCCCTCATACTGGTCTCCCTTGTGGTCCATGTGGGTCTTGTCTTCAGTGTAACTGTTCAAGCAGTCTAGGTCTTTTAGTCCAGGAAGCTGTTGCCTTATTAATGATTTTGTTAAAATGTCCTCTACCAGGGTGGTGTGGGCCAAATTAAAACAAAAAACAATCAACTACCCCAACTCCCCTGCAAAAACACAAACATAATTAATTATTCCATGGAGAAGTTTCTTATTTGGCTGATGTAGTGCTCTTCAAATTTATCCCATTACCTTAGGAAGAATCAACTACAATGCTTGCTTTAGCTTTGGTCATCCTATCTCTGCCACTTTGATGCTGTTTGGCTTAGGATGGGGCAATATTTCTTTAAAAAATTCTTCCCTACTTCTATTTCTTATATTTTTTTTATATTTGGAGTTTCTAAAGTATAGTGGTGGATGATTTTGAGTTCCTTTGAAAATTGAAGCTAATATAAACATTATCCTGCTTAATATTTAGACATTTAGAGGTAGAATTAAGCACTCAACTCATGTTTGGTATTTCAAAGTAAAAACAGATGTGACTTGAAGGACCAAAGAAATTGTTAGCTATAAATTTATCTTTCTGAGATCAATTGTATTCCTTTTTTTAATGACTCTTTGCTCTAACATTTCCTAGAAGTGTTCTCATAGAGTTCTAATGTATCCACAGGCTGCCATCTTATTGGTAAATACAAAGTAATTACCTTGTTTCTTTTACTCTGGTCTGTAGTACTTCAAAGTGACTTTTTCATATTCATGACCTTGATTCCATTTTGGAGATTTTTAAGAATTTGATGCATTTAAATACACTGTTCAATTAAATTGTTTGAATTTTATGTATGTGTGTGTATATGTTTCTGAAGTTGATTCTATTTAAGTTATTAAAGTATTATGACTTTGCTCTTGTGAAAGTAGTTTCTTTTTGAACCACTAGTATCAATAGAGCAATTAATTCAATTATTTTTATTGTATTCTGTTTTAGCAAAATCCCCTCCATAAGGCCTTCCTTCAGCATCAAGCTATTGGAGTATAAATCCCACTGGGAGTACAAATTAACCCCAGGCTGTTCGTTTCCCTTTGGTGTTTGGATTGGGTCTTACAGCCCTCACCCTCCTGCGGTAAAGGGAAGGGGACATCTGGGGTAAGAGTGAGGAATCTGAGTGGTCCCTGTTTTCCTAAGCCTAATTTAGGGTAACTGCAGCCTCCTGAGAACTAGCACTGCTTTCTGTGTGGGAGCAGCTGGGGAAGGGAGCCAGGCAGAGAGTGGAAGGAAGTTTCCCTTCCTCTTCTAGGGAAGCGCCCACCCTGGGCAAAACTTTGAAGTAGGTGCAAAGGTTTTGCTGCCACTTTTCTGTCAATGTTTGGTGACCTCATCATGACCTCTTTCTGGGTGGCCTTCACCCCAGTCCCTGCTCCACCCAGGCAGAGAGAGTCCCCTGCCCTCACTGACTGTCAGCATGTCTGGGTGCTGGGGCACTGGAGTGCCTGCTGCTCCTGGAAGGACCCTGCAGACTGTTGGGTAGCAAATCTCATCACCCAAAATAGGAATGCTCACTGAAATCAAGCATTCCTAAAAGTACAACTCGCAGATGTCAATAAAATAATGAGCTGCCCAACTAAGCCCAAGGTGTTGCCCCTGAGTTTATTCACTAAAGATTGACAGGCTGAGTTCTCTGGTTTGTCACTTAGGGAAAGTGCAGTTTCAGACACCAAAGGTTTTAGAGACGGCAGTCAACACAGAACAGATGGATTCACCATGACTGGCCTGGGTCCTCCTGCTGAAGGTGAGGAGGAGAGGGTCTCAGTAGATCAATTCAAGACAAGTGTCAATGCCTGACAGCCCCCACCCTGCCAGAGGCACTCACTCTGTATTTATTTTAATCTTCATTATGGAAAAAATATACATGTTCAACAGTGGACAGTGCATGAGTATAGGAACCTTCATGTACCTATCACCCAGCTTCAATAAATCTCAACTCTTGGCCATCTTGATTCCTACATCCCTCGCATCCCCACTGGATTATTCCTTTTTTTAAAAAAAAAACATTTTATAGGGAAATTGGGGGATGGGAACAGCGTTAGGGAATCGGAGAAGGGGAACAGACAAGTTGCTGTCCTTCTTCAGTCTAGTTGTGGAGGATGTCGCTTCACTGGCCCATGTTGGTATTATCATTGCGCTCTTCCTGGCTGAGGCAGATCCGTCACCAGCCATTGGATGGCCATTCACGGCGGCTCTTGGCAGCTCACACCAGCTGCCAGCCGCTCGTGGTAGCTTATAGCAGCCCACTGCATCAGGGGCTGCAGCCTACGCCGTCGCTATGCCGCCACTGGCGACTCATGGCAGCCCAGCTCCATGTCGAGCCTGTTGTTCACCATTTTAGCTGTAAAGGGCGTAGCGTCACTGGCCCTCATGTGGGATCCAAACCGGGGCCCTGCTGCTCAGAGCTGGCGTCCCAAGCCAACTCTTAACCAACGCGCCACTCAGCTGGCCCTCCACTGGATTATTTCAAAGCAAATATTTTATTCATAAATATATCAGATTATCTAGAAGAAGAATCATGTAAAAAAAATACTCTCCATTATCACACAAAATATCAGTGCTTTAATCTCAAACATCCAGTCAGCATTTAATTTTCCCTGTTGTCTCATGTTTTTTTATAGTTTATTTGAATCAAGGTACAAATGAGGTCCATACATTGCAATTGATTGATCTTAGTGTGGTAAAAACCACATTACAAAAAGTTTACCATCTTAACCATTTTTAAGTGTACAGTACAGTAGTAACTCTATGCACATTGTTGGGTAACAGATCTCTAGAACTTGAAAAACGGAATCCCTATACGCATTGAATAAATACCCTTTGTCCTCTTCTCCCAGCTCCTGGTAATGACAGTTCTACTTTCTGTTTCTAAGAGTTTGACTACTTTAGGTACCCCAGATATGTAGAATCATACAGTATTTGTCTTTTTGTGACTGGCTTATTTCACTTAGCATAACGTCCTCAAGGTTCATCCACATTGTAGCATGCAACCCAATTTCCTTCTTTTTAAAGGTTGAATAATATTCCATTGTTTGTAAATACTACATTTTTTTATCCATTCATTCATCGATGGACATTTAGATTGCTTCTACCTTTTGGCTACTGTGAATAATAACAATGCAATGAACATGGGTATGCAAATATCTGAAGATCCTATTGTCAGTTCTTTTGGACGTATACCCAGAAGTGGGATTGCGGGATCATGTGGTAGTTCTTTTTGAAACTGTTGTGAGGAATCTCTATACCATTTTCCATAGTAGCTGTACCATTTTACATTCCCACTAATTGTGCACAAGGGTTCCAATTTCTCCATTTTCTGGCCAAAACTTGTTTTCCAGTTTGTTTTTGTTTTCTTTTGTTTTGTTTTTAATTGGGGAATTGGGGGAGGGGAACAGCCAAGTTGTTGTTCTTTAATCTTAGTTGTGGAGGGGGCCAGTCGCCATCTGGCTGCCCGTCGGCAGCTCGTGGCCTCTAAGCTCAAGGTGCTGTGTTCTGTCTTAGTTGCAGGTGGGCATAGCCACCATCCCATGCGGGAGTCGAACCGGCAGCCTTGTTGTTAAGAGTGCACGCTCTATCCACTGAGCCATCCGGGTGGCAGCTCCACTCAAGGTGCTGAGTTCAGTCTTAGTTGTGGATGGGCGTAGCCCACCACTGAACAGGCAGTCTTGTTGATACACCAGCTGAGCCATCATGTCACCTGTTGGCAGCTCAGTGGCAGCTCAGCTCAGGCGCAATGTCACTGGCCCTGTTGCTCAGAACTCGTGCTCTTAAGCTAACTCTTAACCAACTCGGCCTGCCCTGTTTTCCAGTTTTTTTGATAGTGGCCATTCTGATGGGTATGAAGCAATATGTCATTGTGGTTTTGATTTTCATTTCCCTGATTAGTGATGTTGAGCATCTTTTCATATGTATGTTAAACATCTGTGTATTTTCTTTGGGAAAATGTCTATCCAAGTCCTTTGCTCATTTTTAAATCAGGTTATTATTATTTTTGGTTGCTGTTAAGTTGTACGAGTTCTTTATATGAAAATGGTTTGCAAATATTTTCTCCCATTTTGTAGGTTGCCTTTTCACTCTGTTGATTGTTTCCTTGGCTGTACATAAGTTTGATTCGATCTTATTTGTATATTTTTACTTTTGTTCCCTGTATTTTTGATGTCATATTGAGGGAATCATTTCCCATTCCAATAGCATGAAACTTCCCCCTATGTTTTCTCCTATAAGTTTTATAGTTCAGTTTTTACATTTAGGTTTTTAATCCATGTTGAATTAGTTTTTGTGTACAGTATAAGGTAAGGGTCTAGCTTCACTGTTTTGCAAGTGCAACACCAGTTTTCCCAACACCATTTGCTGAGGAGACTATCCTTTCCCCACTATGTCACCCTGGCACCTTTGTCAATGATCATTTGATCGTATACATGAGGATTTGTTTCTGGGCTCTCCGTTTTGTTCCATTGGTCTACATATCTGCCTTTATGCCAGTATTACAATATTTTGATTACTGTAGCTTCGTAATATGTTTTGAAATTAGGAAGAATGAGGCCTCCAGCTTCATTTTTCTTTCTCAAGATTGTTTTGGCTATTCAGGGTCCTTTGAGAATGTATATAAATTTAGGATTTGTTTATGTTTCTGCAGACAATGCCATTGGGATTTTGATAGGGATTGTATTAAATATGTAGATTCCTTTGGGTGGTATGGACATTTAAACAGTATTAAGTCTTCCAATACATGAACGTGGGCTATCTTTCCATTTCTTTTAAAATATTTTGTGGTTTTCAGTGTGCAAGTCTTTCGCTTTCTTGGTTAAGTTTATTCCTAAGTATTTTATTCTTTTTAAAAAAATAGACTAATTTTTTTAGAGAAGTTTTAGGTTCACCGTAAAACTGCATAGAAGTTACAGAGATTTCCCGTCTACTCTCTGCTCCCACATATGCACAGCCTCCCTTGTTATCAATATCCCACCAGAGTGGGACATTTCTTACAATTGATGAATCTGCATTGACACATCATAATTACACAAAGTCCACAGTTTACATTAGGGTTCACTCTTGTGTGTACATTCTATGGGTTTGGACAAGTGTACAATGACATGTATCCACCATTATTGCGTCATACAGAGTGGTTTCCCTGCCCTGAAAGCCCTCTGTGGTCCACCTATTCAACACCTATTTTATTCTTTTTGATGCTATTGTTAATTAAATTGTGTTTTTAATTTCCTTTTTTGATTGTTCATTGGTTGCTGTGTTTCTTAAGGCTTCTTAAAGCTGTGGAGTCACCACTGGCTCTCCCTCTCCCCCACTTTTTCTTTACAATTTATTTGGTCATTTGCTTTTGGAGAAGCCCTATGATCACCCCAAGAATGTTAACTGCCGGACTGCCTGTGGCTGTCTGAATGAAGAGAAACTTCAGCTCAGCAGAGGGAAAAAGGGTTATTCTCTGTTGCAACATTTCTCCATGTCCTTAAACTCCTCCTCAGAGGCAGCCCAGGGTGACCCCGCACTGCCCAGCCTTTAACTTGGACACAGCTTTTTGTTTTGTAAATCAGAGTCACCCTCCCAGGTATGGAACAGAGTTCACTCCTTTTTTGTGGGAGTAGGGGGAGGGTCTGTCCTTTCTGGGCAGGCTTCAGTTTTCAAACGTCTGCCACGTGGCTTCTTTGGCTTTAGTGTGGTGGCTTCCTTAGCTGCCAACATTTTGGTTAAGGTAGAAGGGTTATTATAGGACTAGAAATAGTGAGTCACACAAGACGTGACATCACGTTGAGGGCCCATCCCCGGGGAATTCCAAGGTTTAGGTTTGGATGGTAAAAGTGCTTGGGTTTCTGACTTCTTCAGTTCCATTTTCATGGCTCTCTGAGTAAGAATGCCCAG